GGGCCCATGACACACTCTGGACCTGGCAGCAGCATGAGGAGGCGGTACAGGGGCGTATGACAGATTACGAGCCTGGCAGCAGCAACTTGGACAGGAGGACGTTCAGCTTCTGCACCGTCGGGTGCGTGCTCGCAAACTGTTGTCTCTTGGAAACGGATTCCAAGAAAGACTGCTGACGGAATCCGTGAAGAGGAGTAGCAGGAGAAGGAGCATCTGAACGAGCGGAATATGCCAACAAGCGACAACAGGGGCCCATGACAGATTACGGGCCTGGCAGCAGCATGAGGAGTCGGTACGGGGGCCCATGGCAGATTAGGGGCCTGGCAGCAGCTATGGGAGGCCCGTAATCTGCCAGCACCCTATGACAAAAAATGGAACACACCAGCAGTGTGAGGAGACCTGAAAGTGGCACATGGCAGAGTGTGGCGATGGAGACAGCAGCAATGGGAGGCCGTACAGGGACCCATGAGAGACTCTGGACCTGGCAGCAGCATGAGGAGGCGGTATAGGGGCCCATGGCAGATTAGGGGCCTGGCAGCAGCTATGGGAGGCCCGTAATCTGCCAGCACCCTATGACAAAAAATGGAACACACCAGCAGTGTGAGGAGACCTGAAAGTGGCACATGGCAGAGTGTGGCGATGGAGACAGCAGCAATGGGAGGCCGTACAGGGACCCATGAGAGACTTTGGACTTGGCAGCAGCATGAGGAGGCGGTACAGGGGCCCATGGCAGATTAGGGCCTGGCAGCAGCTATGGGAGGCCCGTAATCTGCCAGCACCCTATGACAAAAAATGGAACACACCAGCAGTGTGAGGAGACCTGAAAGTGGCACATGTTTTGGGGCATGATTCATGGCGGATTTAGTCAGTTGTGTCAGGAACTGGTGGTTTGAAATCCAGACTAATCCATCCACGCCTGATTCATTTTCACAAACGTGAGTCTCTCCACACTTTGGGTGGACAGTCGTGTCCTCCGCGGAGTTACAATACCTCCTGCCGCACTAAACACGCGCTCCGATGCCACGCTACTGGCCGGGCATGACAGCCTTTCAAGGGCAAATTCAGCTAGTTGGGGCCAAAGGTCAAGTTTCGTTGCCCAGTAGTCAAGGGGATTGTCTACCTCGGTTGGCAGGGTGCTGTCCAAAGTAGGCCTAAGCCTGTTGTTTGAGGTCCTGCTCCAGGTCCACCTGATGCTGCTGCTGCTGCGGCTGGTTATTAGTTTCCTCCTCACTGCGCTGGTGAAGAAAGCTACTCATCATCGACTGCAGACTGAGGCAGCTGCTGCTGGTGGAGCTGCCACTGCTCCTACCACCCCACCCCTCCCCTGCTGCCATGGCAGCGGAACGCGAGCGCACAGGGCCCACAGTGTCTGAGGATGGACGTTGGCGCAGAAAGGCAGAGACCAGCTGACTACATAGGTGGTTTTTATAGTACGTTATTTTGGCCTCCCTCTCAGCAGGTGTGAAAAAGGCCACCATTTTTGAACGGTAGCGAGGGTCCAACAAGGTGGACAGCCAAAAGTCATCCCTCTGTCTGATGGTTATTATTCGGCTGTCGCTACGCAAGCAAGCGAGCATGCTATGGGCCATTTGTGCCAAGGAATGCGAGGGACTCCCTGCCTCCATCTCCACAGCATACTGCCACGGTGCGTCTGGGTCCTCTGTCTCCTCCTCCTCCTCCTCTACCAGATGCTCCTGCACCTCCACTCCTGTCCGCTGAGTGGAAAAACCACCCATTTCACTCAATAATTCCTGAGCACCAATGTCCTCCTCTACCTCCTCCTCTTCTTCCTGTCCTGCCCCACAGGGGTCATGTGGCGTTGAGATCTGTGCGCCACGTCTACCGCACCCTGACCAGCATTGTTAACAGCATTTGTTCCAGGACGTGCAACAGAGGAATGACGTCGTTCATCCCATAGTCCTGCCGACTCACGAATAGCGTGGCCTCCTCAAAGGGCCTGAGCAAGCCAGGTGTCACGCATGAGCTGCCAATGGCTGACATCTAAGTTACACAGGGAGTACCTTTATCCGCTTTTAACATCAGGAAATCTGTGATGGCCTTTCGCTGTTCGTAAAGGCGGTCTAACATATGTAGGGTTGAATTCCACCTTGTTGCAACGTCACAGCATGAGGAGTCGGTACGGGGCCCATGGCAGATTACGGGCCTGGCAGCAGCAATGGGAGGCCCGTAATCTGCCAGCACCCTATGACAAAAAATGGAACACACCAGCAGTGTGAGGAGACCTGAAAGTGGCACATGGCAGAGTGTGGCGATGGAGACAGCAGCAATGGGAGGCCGTACAGGGACCCATGAGAGACTCTGGACCTGGCAGCAGCATGAGGAGGCGGTATAGGGGCCCATGGCAGATTAGGGGCCTGGCAGCAGCTATGGGAGGCCCGTAATCTGCCAGCACCCTATGACAAAAAATTGAACACACCAGCAGTGTGAGGAGACCTGAAAGTGGCACATGGCAGAGTGTGGCGATGGAGACAGCAGCAATGGGAGGCCGTACAGGGACCCATGAGAGACTCTGGACCTTGGCAGCAGCATGAGGAGGCGGTATAGGGGCCCATGGCAGATTAGGGGCCTGGCAGCAGCTATGGGAGGCCCGTAATCTGCCAGCACCCTATGACAAAAAATGGAACACACCAGCAGTGTGTGAGGAGACCTGAAAGTGGCACATGGCAGAGTGTGGCGATGGAGACAGCAGCAATGGGAGGCCGTACAGGGACCCATGAGAGACTCTGGACCTGGCAGCAGCATGAGGAGGCGGTATAGGGGCCCATGGCAGATTAGGGGCCTGGCAGCAGCTATGGGAGGAGGCCCGTAATCTGCCAGCACCCTATGACAAAAAATGGAACACACCAGCAGTGTGAGGAGACCTGAAAGTGGCACATGTGCATGAGACACTGTGGACCCCATGAGAGCAGCAGCATGAGGAGGCGGTACAGGGGCCCATGGCAGATTAGGGGCCTGGCAGCAGCTATGGGAGGCCCGTAATCTGCCAGCACCCTATGTCAAAAAATGGAACACACCAGCAGTGTGAGGAGACCTGAAAGTGGCACATGGCAGAGTGTGGCGATGGAGACAGCAGCAATGGGAGGCCGTACAGGGACCCATGAGAGACTCTGGACCTGGCAGCAGCATGAGGAGGCGGTACAGGGGCCCATGGCAGATTAGGGGCCTGGCAGCAGCTATGGGAGGCCCGTAATCTGCCAGCACCCTATGACAAAAAATGGAACACACCAGCAGTGTGAGGAGACCTGAAAGTGGCACATGGGGGCATGATTCATGGCGGATTTAGTCAGTTGTGTCAGGAACTGGGAGGTTTGAAATCCAGACTAATCCACGCCAGATTCATTTTCACAAACGTGAGTCTCTCCACACTTTGGGTGGACAGTCGTGTCCTCCGCGGAGTTACAATACCTCCTGCCGCACTAAACACGCGCTCCGATGCCACGCTACTGGCCGGCATGACAGCCTTTCAAGGGCAAATTCAGCTAGTTGGGGCCAAAGGTCAAGTTTCGTTGCCCAGTAGTCAAGGGGATTGTCTACCTCGGTTGGCAGGGTGCTGTCCAAGTAGGCCCAAGCCTGTTGTTTGAGGTCCTGCTCCAGGTCCACCTGATGCTGCTGCTGCTGCTGCGGCTGGTTAGTAGTTTCCTCACTGCGCTGGTGAAGAAAGCTACTCATCATCGACTGCAGACTGAGGCAGCCGCTGCTGGTGGAGCTGCCACTGCTCCTACCACCCCACCCCTCCTTTGCTGCCATGGCAGTGGAACGCGAGTGCACAGGCCCACAGTGTCTGAGGATGGACGTTGGCGCACAAAGGCAGAGACCAACTGACTACATAGGTGGTTTTTATAGTACGTTATTTTGGCCTCCCTCTCAGCAGGTGTGAAAAAGGCACCATTTTTGAACGGTAGCGAGGGTCCAACAAGGTGGACAGCCAAAAGTCATCCCTCTGTCTGATGGTTATTATTCGGCTGTCGCTACGCAAGCAAACCGAGCATGCTATGGGCCATTTGTGCCAAGGAATGCGAGGGACTCCCTGCCTCCATCTCCACAGCATACTGCCACGGTGCGTCTGGGTCCTCTGTCTCCTCCTCCTCCTCCTCTACCAGATGCTCCTGCTCCTCCACTCCTGTCCGCTGAGTGGAAAAACCACCCATTTCACTCAATAATTCCTGAGCACAAAATGTCCTCCTCTACCTCCTCCTCTTCTTCCTGTCCTGCCCCCACAGGGGTCATGTGGCGTTGAGATCTGTGCGCCACGTCTACCGCACCCCTGACCAGCCATTGTTAACAGCATTTGTTCCAGGACGTGCAACAGAGGAATGACGTCGTTCATCCCATAGTCCTGCCGACTCACAAATAGCGTGGCCTCCTCAAAGGGCCTGAGCAAGCGGCAGGGAGTCACGCATGAGCTGCCAATGGCTGACATCGAAGTTACACAGGGGAGTACCTTTATCCGCTTGTAACATCAGGAAATCGGTGATGGCCTTTCGCTGTTCGTAAAGGCGGTCTAACATGTGTAGGGTTGAATTCCACCTTGTTGCAACGTCGCAGATCAGGCGATGCTGTGGAATTCCGTTCTGCCGCTGCAGCTCAAGGAGGGTGTGCTTTGCGGTGTAGGAATGGCTGAAATGCATGCAAAGTTTACGTGACATTTTAAGGATGTCTTGCAGTGGGATGGTGGATTTTAGGAACCGCTTGACAACCAGATTGAACACGTGAGCCATGCATGGCGCATGGCACAACCTTCCTTGACGCAGAGCAGACACCATGTTCTTTCCGTTGTCGGTCAACATGGTTCCGATTTTCAGTTTGCGCGGAGACAGCCATCTGTCGATTTCTCTGTTCATTACACTGAGAAGTTCCTCCCCTGTGTGACTACGTTCGCCTGGACCTGGCAGCAGCATGAGGAGGCGGTACAGGGGCCCATGGCAGATTAGGGGCCTGGCAGCAGCTATGGGAGGCCCGTAATCTGCCAGCACCCTATGACAAAAAATGGAACACACCAGCAGTGTGTGAGGAGACCTGAAAGTGGCACATGGCAGAGTGTGGCGATGGAGACAGCAGCAATGGGAGGCCGTACAGGGACCCATGAGAGACTCTGGACCTGGCAGCAGCATGAGGAGGCGGTATAGGGGCCCATGGCAGATTAGGGGCCTGGCAGCAGCTATGGGAGGCCCGTAATCTGCCAGCACCCTATGACAAAAAATTGAACACACCAGCAGTGTGAGGAGACCTGAAAGTGGCACATGGCAATGAGAGGCCGTACAGGGACACTGTGAACCTGGCAGCAGCAGCAGCATGAGGAGGCGGTACAGGGGCCCATGGCAGATTAGGGGCCTGGCAGCAGCTATGGGAGGCCCGTAATCTGCCAGCACCCTATGTCAAAAAAATTGAACACACCAGCAGTGTGTGAGGAGACCTGAAAGTGGCACATGGCAGAGTGTGGCGATGGAGACAGCAGCAATGGGAGGCCGTACAGGGACCCATGAGAGACTCTGGACTGGGCAGCAGCATGAGGAGGCGGTATAGGGGCCCATGGCAGATTAGGGGCCTGGCAGCAGCTATGGGAGGCCCGTAATCTGCCAGCACCCTATGTCAAAAAATTGAACACACCAGCAGTGTGAGGAGACCTGAAAGTGGCACATGGCATGAGACACTGTGGACCTGGCAGCAGCTTGAGGAGGCGGTACAGGGGCCCATGGCAGATTAGGGGCCTGGCAGCAGCTATGGGAGGCCCGTAATCTGCCTGCACCCTATGTCAAAAAAAATGAACACACCAGCAGTGTGTGAGGAGACCTGAAAGTGGCACATGGCAGAGTGTGGCGATGGAGACAGCAGCAATGGGAGGCCGTACAGGGACCCATGAGAGACTCTGGACTTCGCAGCAGCATGAGGAGGCGGTATAGGGGCCCATGGCAGATTAGGGGCCTGGCAGCAGCTATGGGAGGCCCGTAATCTGCCAGCACCCTATGACAAAAAATGGAACACACCAGCAGTGTGAGGAGACCTGAAAGTGGCACATGGCATGAGACACTGTGGACCTGGCAGCAGCATGAGGAGGCGGTACAGGGGCCCATGGCAGATTAGGGGCCTGGCAGCAGCTATGGGAGGCCCGTAATCTGCCAGCACCCTATGACAAAAAATGGAACACACCAGCAGTGTGTGAGGAGACCTGAAAGTGGCACATGGCAGAGTGTGGCGATGGAGACAACCCACCGACTGTTTTGCTCGCTGCCAAGCTGCCACCCTCTTCTCCTGATGATGCGGAAGCAATAGCCTGATGACGACGAGGCTGCCAAGTGCGATCAGCCTCATCATCATCAATTAGGGTCTCCGCCTCACTACTAGCCCCCTCGGCTGCGTGTGGGTCAGGAGACAGACCTGTCTCTAGACCGGCTACCGAGCCACTCTCCTCGCCACTACTTCTTGCCTGGCTGCTGAAGAGGTGGATGTCTCCCCCCGTTCCTGACCGCCCTCTGTTAGCTCTTCCTCACTGTACTGGATGACACCGGGAGCACTGGCCTCTGGCTGCGAATAGTGCTGCCTCGACCCCTTCCTCTGCTGCCACGTCTGCTCGCTCCTAAAACATTGCCTCCTCTGCCACTCCTCTGCATGTTGTCTGACATACTCTTTAATTAAACGATTCTGTGTCCCTGAGTAACAATTCTGTGTCTGTCCCTGAGTAACAATTCTGTGTCCCTGAGTAACGTTTCTGTGGCCCCTAAGTAACAGTTCTGTGGCCCTCAGTAACAATTCTGTGTCCCTCAGTAACAATTCTGTGTCCCTCAGTAACAATTCTGTGTCCCTGAGTAACAATTCTGTGTCTGTCCCTGAGTAACAATTCTGTGTCCTGAGTAACGTTTCTGTGGCCCTAAGTAACAGTTCTGTGGCCCTCAGTAACAATTCTGTGTCTGTCCCTCAGTAACAATTCTGTGTCTGTCCCTGAGTAACAATTCTGTGTCCCCTGAGTAACAATTCTGTGTCCCTAGTAACAATTCTGTGTCCCTGAGTAACAATGCTGTGTCCCTCAGTAACAATTCTGTGTCCCTCAGTAACAATTCTGTGTCCCTCAGTAACAATTCTGTGTCCCTGAGTAAGAATTCTGTGTCTGTCCCTGAGTAAGAATTCTGTGTCTGTCCCTGAGTAACAATTCTGTGTCCCTGAGTAACGTTTCTGTGGCCCTAAGTAACAGTTCTGTGGCCCTCAGTAACAATTCTGTGTCCCTCAGTAACAATTCTGTGTCTGTCCCTCAGTAACAATTCTGTGTCTGTCCCTGAGTAACAATTCTGTGTCCCTCAGTAACAATTCTGTGTCCCTCAGTAACAATTCTGTGTCCCTGAGTAACAATTCTGTGTCCCCCTAGTAACAATTCTGTGTCCCTGAGTAACAATTCTGTGTCCCTGAGTAAGAATTCTGTGTCCCCTGAGTAACAATTCTGTGTCCCTAAGTAACGTTTCTGTGGCCCTAAGTAACGTTTCTGTGGCCCTAAGTAACGTTTCTGTGGCCCTAAGTAACGTTCTGTGGCCCTAAGTAACAGTTCTGTGGCCCTAAGTAACAATTCTGTGTCCCTCAGTAACAATTCTGTGTCCCTGAGTAACAATTCTGTGTCCCTAAGTAACGTTTCTGTGTCCCTAAGTAACGTTTCTGTGGCCCTAAGTAACGTTTGTGGCTGTGGCCCTAAGTAACGTTTCTGTAGCCCTAAAGTAACGTTTCTGTGGCCCTAAGTAACGTTTCTGTGGCCCTAAGTAACGTTTCTGTGTCCCTCAGTAACAATTCTGTGTCCCTCAGTAACAATTCTGTGTCCCCTAAGTAACAATTCTGTGGCCCTAAGTAACGTTTCTGTGGCCCTAAGTAACGTTCTGTTCTGTGGCCCTCAGTAACAATTCTGTGTCCCTCAGTAACAATTCTGTGTCTGTCCCTAAGTAACAATTCTGTGGCCCTAAGTAACAATTTCTGTGGCCCTAAGTAACGTTTCTGTGGCCCTAAGTAACGTTCTGTGGCCTAAACAATTCTGTAACGATTCTGTGGCCCTAAGTAACGTTTCTGTGTCCCTAAGTAACGTTTCTGTGGCCCTAAGTAACGTTTCTGTGGCCCTAAGTAACGTTTCTGTGGCCCTCAGTAACAATTCTGTGTCTGTCCCTGAGTAACAATTCTGTGTCCCTAAGTAACGTTTCTGTGGCCCTAAGTAACGTTTCTGTGGCCCTAAGTAACGTTTCTGTGGCCCTAAGTAACGTTTCTGTGGCCCTAAGTAACGTTTCTGTGGCCCTCAGTAACAAATCTGTGTCCCTCAGTAACAATTCTGTGTCTGTCCCTAAGTAACAATTCTGTGGCCCTAAGTAACGTTTCTGTGGCCCTAAGTAACGTTTCTGTGGCCCTCAGTAACAATTCTGTGTCCCTCAGTAACAATTCTGTGTCTGTCCCTAAGTAACAATTCTGTGGCCCTAAGTAACGTTTCTGTGGCCCTAAGTAACGTTTCTGTGGCCCTAAGTAACGATTCTGTGGCCCTCAGTAACAATTCTGTGTGTCCCTGTCCCTCAGTAACAATTCTGTGTCTGTCCCTAAGTAACAATTCTGTGGCCCTAAGTAACGTTTCTGTGGCCCTAAGTAACGTTTCTGTGGCCCTAAGTAACGATTCTGTGGCCCTAACTAACGTTTCTGTGTCCCTAAGTAACGTTTCTCTGTCCCTAACTCTCTCTCCTGAATACAGCCAGGTCTGCCTCTGTTGAATGACTGGAGGCAAATGGAGAATTCTAAAATGGCCGCCATTTATAGCTCGACCATTACACTGTGCTGGCTGGCTGGCTGCTGATTGGCTAATGCGATCACATGTCATGAATGAATGCATTATGGGTCAGCGCGCCTTGTCTGTGCGCCTTCCCAGACATCCCCGCTCCGTCGCCGCACATGTCGCCGCCATTTTAGGAAAAATTTCGATTCGCGCATCCGAAGTCTGCTTATTTTCGGATTCGACGCGAATCGAAATTTTCCTAATATTCGAAACGAATTCCACTTTGCCTACTTCGATTCGCTCATCTCTAGTTACAGCAATACATATATAATGTATTGTTTGATGCTTAAATTAAAGAGGACCTGTTCATCATTAATCTTTTTTGAAGTTGAATATAATGGAAGTTATAATAAAGCAAAGATTACACTGTTCAACAGGTAAAAAGTTTTGGGCATAAAATTAGCTATTACATAATTTTGGGGTGCTGAAAACGAAAATGACCCTAAAAAATGTTGATTGGCTCTAGTTTCCATGATATATTCATCCATCTAATGACGTAAGCCATTCAAATTATGATGCAACTTCAGCTGCATATTGCGCAATTGATACTGGTGACCAATAGAAAATTGCATGTATACTGAGATGATGCAATATTAGCATTTAATTGCATCACTTCACTGCATGAAAGCTGCAGTATCTGTAGCTGATTGTAGTTCGACAGCGTCTTTACATTTCGTTTTATGCTTATATAGGCTACTCAGTAATGCCTCGAACTTGTGTGAATAAAGCAGATAATTTCTGCTATATCTGCGGTGAAATAACTTTTATCTCACAAAAAAGGAGGATAACAGGAATGATTAAGAAAGCCTACAACTTGTATTTTGGCTGCAAGATAGGAGACCAGGACAAGAGCTGGGCACCACATATATGCTGCAATTCTTGTGGGACGGCACTGGAGCAATGGTTGAATGGAAAAAAGGCATCTATGCCTTTCACTGTGCCAATGATTTGGAGAGAGCCAACAGATCATGTTAGTAATTGTTACTTTTGTATGGTGCCTCCAATTGTAAAAGGGCTAAATAAGAAGAAAAAGTTATCTGTGCACTATCCAAATATTCCATCGGCAATACGTCCAGTTCCTCATGGAGAGGGGCTACCAATTCCTAAAGCACCAGAATCCTTCGTGGTTGAGTCAAGTGAGGAAGAACCTGAAGCGTGTAGTCACGTGCAGTTGTAAGAGATAGCCCTTTCCTCGAATACAAGAGAAAAGCCAAGAGAAGCAAAACCGACACAAACTGAAGACAAAACTAGTGAGAATCCTAAGTATTAAAATGATTCAACTTAGCTTATGGCTATAATTTTTCTTGGTAATCCTATGCAATATATTATGCCATTTAGGCTTTGTTATGTAGTCAATATCACTTGCTTTATATTTGTGGAAAGACATCTATCTATATAATTATTGTGCATTATGTAGTCATTACGCCTATAGTAGAAAACTTTCCGTTTACAGAAAAACTAGAGCCAATTGACAAATTTCATTGTTATATTTGAACTCAGAATGTGAAATTCATTAAGGAAATGGATCCTTTTGTTTCCAAAACTGGCAAAAAATAAAAATTTGTTGAACAGTGTTATGCTCAATTTCTACTTTATATTCTCATATAAATAAAGCTCATGTACCACTGCTTCACAAAACTTACGTCCAAAGCTTCCTAAAGGCACTCACATGAAAGACATTGCCAGCAAAATTTTCTCTTAATTAGAAAATGTGTCATTATTGAGTTGTGGAGAAAGGCCCAGTTCAAGATTATCCATAAGGCCTATTATGTTTACAGATTCCTTGACAAAATTAAATATTCAGGCCAATAAGATCAAAGTTGCTCAAAATGTAACCTATGAGGAACTACTGTATGGTAAAACATTGCCTTTGGGAATGTGCAACTATTTCATCCCTTTGAGTTACATTTCTTCAATACATCAACAAAATTTTAGGATTGAAATGAACAAAGACCCTTTGTTATGCATTTTTATTTATTGAACTTTCCACTCACAACAATGGATCAACAGTGGACCCATTAAGAGCCATTATGAAATATTTACTACCCCCCATGGGCCCCCACACTTTTACAAATAGAATCTTGTAGCAGTGGCTATTTCCCCTAACTGTACATCCCATCCTGTAGGTGGAGAGCGAGGGTTTCCAATACTTAATGAATGGGAAGGATTTAGAGAATGGAGTGGCCTTCAGAGAGCTGAGAATATAGAAGAGGATCTATGCACTCTCCCCTTTTGTGGAGAAGCTTGGCTGGGAACTGAAGACTAATGGAACATTAGGATTAAGGGAGGACATGCTACAGAATCGTGATTGCAGCAGT